TGTGTGTGTTGATGCACACTGCTTAAAATTTACCTTTTGAGTATGTGCAATTCAGCAACTTCTAGTAAATTTGCAGAGTTGTGTAACCATTGCCATCAGTCAACTCTAGAACATTCTATCACAACCTCCAACAAGGAGTGAGCACCGTTAATGGTCTTATTTTCCCTTCCTCACTCCTGACAACCAAGAATCTTTCTGTTGCTAGGGACCTGACTGTCGTGGGCACTTTGTTGAAGGAAATCACACTGCATAGACTTCTGTGTCTGGTTGCTGCTGCTTTTTATAATTTGATTTTCTGTGTATGAGTGTTTTGCCTGCACATATGTCAGTATACCACATGTGTGCCTGGTGCTCATGGAGGCCAGAATAGGGCTTCAGCTCCTCCAGAACTGTAGTTACAGATGGCTGTCAATCACCATGTGGCTTCTGGAATCAAACCCAAGTCCTCTGGAAGAGTGTAACTGCGGAGCCATCTCTCCAGTCCTGTGTGTGGATTTTTTTTTTTTCTACTCAACATCTCAGGTTTTAGGCTTTTTTGCTTGTTGTTCATTTTTTTGTGTATATATGTGTTTGTATGTGTGCAGGTGTTGTAATTTAAAAAATCGGTGCATGAGAGAAAGACACCATTGTGACAGAGCTTGGGTGGAGGAGGGGTTTTTATTGGGGGAAAGTGAATGGGAAAAGAGGGGAGGGGAGAGAGGAGACTGGCCTCTGGGGTCAGGAGTGGCAGAAGAGAGAGGCAGGGGGGGGGGGAGGAAGAGGGAGAGAGAGAGAGAGAGAGAGGGAGAGAGAGGGAGGGGGGGGGGGGGGGGAGTTGGCAGGGCCCTTTTAAAAGGGAACATAGTGAATTTGCACAGGTGCTCTTAGTGGCTGCAGCTGAGGGCACCTCCTGTCAGAACCCCAAGGGTGGGCCATTCCAGATGCCTGAATACTAACAGCAGATGCATGTAAACATATACATGGACGTGGAGCCCAAAGAGCAAACTCAGGTGGCACTCCTCAAATGCTGTCCACCTTGTTTGCTTTGGAAAGGGGTCTCTCATTGGCCTGGAGCTTGCCTCAAGTTGTATAGGATGCCAGTCTAGTGAGAAACAGGGATCTACCTACCTCTGCCTCCCAGAGCTGTGATTTCCAGTTTGTGCTACCATACCTGGCTTTTGTTGTAATTATTTTGAGACAGTGTCTTACTATGTAGGCTTGGCTGTCCTGGAACTCACTATGTAGACTAGGCTGGCTTTGAACTCACAGAGGTCTTTCCAAGTGCTTGGGTTAAGGGTATCCACCACCACACCTGGCTTCCTGGTCCTCATGATTGTGTGGCAAACACTTTATCAATGGAGCCATCACAGAGGCTTTTTGTTTGTTTTTGTTTTATTTTTAAAATTAATTTGTATTTTTCATGGATTTTTTTCTTTGAGACAGGGTTTCTCTGTGTAGCTTTGGAGCCTATCTTGGCACTTGCTCTGTAGACCAAGCTGGCCTCGAACTCACAGAGATCCGCCTGCCTCTGCCTCCCAAGTGCTAGGATTAAAGGCGTGCACCACCAACGCCCGGCTTTTCATGGATATTTTGCCTTCATGTATGACTGCACCACTTACATGCCTGGTTCCCACAGAGGTCAGAAGAGGGCCTCGGATTCCCTGGAACTGAAGTTATAGACAATTGTGAGTGTTAGGGATCAAACCAGAGTCATCTATAAAAAGAAGTGCTCTTAGCCTCTGAGCCATCTCTCCAGCTGCTGTTTTTAGTATTTGTTTGATTTTTTTAAAATAATTTTTTCAGCCGGGCGGTGGTGGCACACACCTTTAATCCCAGTACTTGGGAGGCAGAGGCAGGTGGATCTCTGTGAGTTTGAGACCAGCCTGGTCTACAAGAGCTAGTTCCAGGACAGCCTCCAAAGCCACAGGGAAACCCTGTCTCGAAAAACAAAAACAAAAAAAAAAACAACAAAAAAATTAAATAAATAAAATAAAATAAAATAAATTTTTCATGTGCATTCTTGTTTCGCTTGCATATATGTCTGTGTGAAAGTGTCAGAGCCCCTGAAACTGGAGTTACAGGAAGTTATGAGCTGTCTTGTGGGTGCTGGGATTTGAACTCAGGTTCGCTGCAAGAGCAGCCAGTGCTCTTAACTGCTGAGCCATCTCTCCAGCCTCTGTTTGATTGTTTTTGCAGGATCTCATGATGTATCCCTTGGCTGACCTGGAACTTTCTTTGTAGATGAGGCTGGCCTCGAACTCACAGAGATCTGTGATGCCTTTGGTATAGGATCTTACTATATAACACAGCCTGCTCTGGGACTTGCTATATAGCCCTTAATGGCTTTCAGCTCACAGTCCTTCTCCCTCAGTCTCCAGTGAGCTGAGATTGCAGGCATGTGCTCAACCCAGCATCATGTTTGGGGGTTTCTCTGTGCCCTGGTGTGTAGCAGCTGCTTTGGGCTGAGTATTACTCTTTGCATGGGTTAGCCACCCTTTTCCTCTCTGTATATCTGCTGCCAGAAGTTGATCACACCTTTGTTTTGGGTGTTATGAAACTCACTGCCATAGAGAGAGAAGTTGGAGCATCTTGGTGCCACTACTGTGTAGTGCATAGCGTGCACACAGTCTTGTCTATGCCCCAAGAAGCCCAGTGGTCACTCAGTAGCACTGCCCCCATCTTACAGGAAAAGACACCAGCTCTGTCTCTCCCCTACCAGCCTCCTGTCCGTCTCCTAGTGTCCTAGCCCCACTCTCTGCTCTCCTACCAGCTCCTGTCCGTCTCCTAGCTCCACTCTCTGCATTACTTTCTTTGCCTTTGCTCTTTTAGAGACTGTGCAAACCAGGAAATGAAGCACAGCCAACTTGGGAACACAAATATTTGCCAGTCAAGAAAACACTCCCCTGTCAATCAAAACCCAGACAAGCTGGTGCACATACTCCGTAGGAGCGGGAGGCAGCTTCTGTTTTGGCATGGTCCAGGAGGCTGATGGCTTCTCCTCCTCTGAATGCACCCCAAGATTCTTCCATCCTCAAAAGAAAATGAGGAAACTGAGGCTCAGAGTAGTCACTCAGCATCCAGTGACATTTATTTTTTTTTGAGAATATTTGTGTGAATTCTTAACCTCATGGGGGGGACAGAGGGCTTACAAGTGACAACTTCCAACACAGATAAACAGTAGACAGGCTTCTAGGCCAAGGGGGTGGGTGGAGCTTGAGCATGGCTTTATTACAGCTTTCCAGGGTCCCTACAGCGAGCAAAATACAGTCCAGTTGGGGGCCATAGCTGAGATGGAACAAATTTTCTGTCTGGCTACAGAAACCCAGACTGCACATTCTTTATGCTGTGTGTATGTGTGTGTTTTGCTGGATGGAACCCAGGTGTCTTAGTTTTCTATTGCCATGGTAAGACACCATGAATGGCTGGGGGTGGGGGGTGATGGTGGCAAATACCTTTAATCCCAGCACTCCGGAAACAGAGGCAGGTGGATCTCTGTGAGTTCAAGGCCAGCCTGGTCTACAAGAGCTAGTTCCAGGACAGCCTCCAAAGCCACAGAGAAACAAACAAACAAACAAACAAACAAAACAAAGCAAAAAAAGCAAGTATTTAATTTGGGATTCACAGTTCCTAAGGGTTAGAGTCTGTGACCATCAAGTAGCATGACATCAAGTAGGCAGGCATGGTGCTGGAGCAGTAACTGAGAGCTTATATCCTTATCCACAAGCACAAGGCAGAGAAAGGACACTAGCAATAGTATGGACTTTTGAAACCTCAAAACCTAGTATCACACCTCCTCCAAAAGGCCACACCTCCTAATCCTTCCCACACAGTTCCACCAATGGGGATTCAAGTCTATGAGCCTATGGGAGCCATTCTCATTCAAACCACTGCAGCAAGACCTTGCAAGTGGGAGGTCACTGCTCTATCAAGAGGTACACCCCCACCCTTGGGCTTATTTTTGAGATAGTAAATGCTGCATGGCTCATGCATGGCCCCGACTGGAGACCCTTCTGTTTCCACCTCTGAACTGCTGAGATAGTTTACACCTCACCTCTGGGCTTAATGGTGAGGGTTTCAAACTTGGATCCAGCCCTCTTGCCCTTACCAGTTGTAGACTAACCTCTCCCTGTGAGCTACTCTAGCTGCCACCAGGCTCATAGGGCTTATTATAGTTCAGCTGTTCTCACCACGTTCCTGACTCAAAATTCTCCTGCTGGGCCATATTAACATGGAGACTTGCAGAGATTTGAGCGTTGTTGGCTCACTGAGGCCCTGTTCAGAAGGCTTGAGGGCATCAGGTTCTGGGGGTGTAGTCAATGGAAGAGGGTGTGCTTAGCATTTTTGAGGCCTGGGGTTCAATTTTCACAATTGCAATGATAAAACGTTTTCAAACTTGTCCCTGTGAGGTCTTAACTGACATTTGGTTTGCTAAAGCTCCGATTCTGGGCTCTGTCCCAAAGGATCTGAATGGAACAGACAGGGAAGTTGCATTTTCATTGCTTTTTAACCCATGTTCAGAAAAGGGAAAGACTGTAAAATTAAAGGGAAGACCCTTCCCTCATGATGGTGCCTGTGTGGACTGGTTAGCCATATCCCAGCACCTGGAGCTGATTTGGGATGAATGTGTTTATTCCTGGATCTGCGGTTGGCGCTGGTGAAGACAAGGCCCCAGACCTCTGTCCTTTCAGAGTGGAGGCAGGCAAGTGATTTGAGCTTGCCTCCGGCTGGCCGCAAAGGAGCGGATCGCCACAGGTGCACCGCCTCCTGCTGGCGGGTAGGGGAAGGGGCGGGAGTAGGATAGGCGAGGCCGAAGGGAGGAGGGGCGGGGTCGTGTGAGAAAGGGGCGGGACAAGAGGCGGGACCGCAAAGAAGGGAGGGCGGGGCCGTGAGCGTGACAGGCGGGCAAGAGGAGGAGTCGTGTGCAGACTGAGGGTGGGCCGGAAGACCAGGGAAGAAGAGGGGACGGGGCTAGAGGTGGAGCCTGGCGCAGGATAGCGACGCATCAGGGGCGGGGCCGTCAGGGGGAAGAAGTAACTCACTAGAAGGCTGAACCAGGGTTAAGGAAGCACGGAGCCTGTGGGCTGGAAAGGGTGTGGGTAAAGCATTGAAGGGCAAGGCCAAATTATAGTTGTGGGCAGGGCTTAGCGCCTCCTCGCTCTGACCGACCAATCCGCGGGCACGTACCAGCTGTGGATTCCGCCCAAGGCCCCGAAGATCGCAACATCTCCATAGGCCGTCGCAGGCCGTCTTCCGGTCGGGGGGCGGGCCCCGCGCGGTGGCGGGAAAGCTGCGGCCCAGGCGGGACCTGTGAGACGCCGAGGGGTGGGAACGGACCTGTAGCGTGAACTCTTCGTCATGGACGCTGCCGAAGTGGAGTTTTTGGCCGAGAAGGAACTGGTGACCATTATTCCGAACTTCAGTCTGGACAAGATCTACCTAATTGGGGTGAGGCGGACGGGACGGGGCTGCGGTCGCGGGGTCATGGACAGGTCAGCGCTCCTTTCCACCTGGGGTCTGCGTTGTCCTTGCAGGGGGACCTGGGGCCCTTCAACCCCGGCTTACCCGTGGAAGTGCCCCTTTGGCTGGCCATTAACCTGAAACAGAGACAGAAGTGCCGTCTGCTACCTCCAGAGTGGATGGATGTGGGTGAGCATTCTTGGGCCCGGGTGGGCGGGCTTCTACCTGGATCTGACTCCTTCCTCGGTCCCGGGTTTCCTGACAGCCGACATCAGTAGCTGTTCCAGGTGCTCCTTGGTGTGTAGTGTTTGTGATACTACTAGTTCCTATTTGAATTTTAGATACGTAACTTGCCTTAAAACCAAAGATGTGGGGCCTGCGAGATGGCTCAATGGGTAAGGACACTTGCAGCGAAGCCTAAGAACCTGAGTTCAATCCCCAAACACCACCGTGGGAGGAGATAACCGAGTCCTGCCCTAGTCCTCTGACTTTCTTTATTTAATTTTTTGATTGTATTTATTTATTATATATAACATTCTGTTTCCATGTATATCTACACACCAGAAGAGGGCACCAGATCTCATAACAAATGGCTGTGAGCCACCATGTGGTTGCTGGGAATTGAACTCAAGACCTCTGGAAGAGCAGCCAGTGAGTACTCTTAACCTCTCAGCCATCTCTCCAGCCCTCCTCTGACTTTCTTCTGCGCTCGACTGCACACGATAGTACTAAATTTTAAATTAAAAATGGAGTAGAGATTCAACTTTAAACAAGCATTTTTTTCTTAGTGTTTTTTATTTATTTATTTATTTTTGAGACAGTTTCACTGTGTATTCTGCTGTTCTAGAACTCACTCTGTAGACCCGGCTGGCCTTGAGTTCACAGAGATCTGACTAGTTTTGTTTTAATTGAGTAATGCTGGGAAATTCTGTTACAAAGACTGTGAAAATAGTGTGTCACTGTGCAGTTAGTTTTGTCACAAACTCAAGTCACCTGGGTAGACACAACCTCAACTGAGAAATTACCTCCATCCCACAGGCCTGTGAGCACGTCTGTGGGGTTGTTTCCTTGGTTAAGGATTGAAGTGGCAGGGCCCAGCACACTATGGGTGTTGTCATCCTTGGACAGATGGTGTTAAGTTGTATAAGAAGACAGACAAGGCAATAAGCAGCCTTCCTCCGTGGTTTCTGTCTCTGTTCCTGCTTGAGTTTCTGCCCTCACTTCCATCAATGATGGACTGTGATCAGGTCAAATAAACCCTTTCCTCCCCAAAGTGTGTAATCGTGTTTATCATAGCGACAGAAAAGCTAATTAGGACAGTCACCCTATAGTGGGATATTATTCATCCATGTAAAGGAATGGGCTTCTGATGATGCATGCTACAAGGTGGATGGACCTGGAAAATAGGATGTTGAATAAAAAAGCTAGGCATGGAAGACTAGAGATTGTAGGGTTCTGTTTATCCAAACAGTCAGAAAGAGGCAGAACCACAGAATAGTGACTGCTTAGGTAATGGGGGCTTGGGAAGTGATGGAGGGATTATTTTGGGCGGGGGATGATAATCTGAAATTGAATTGATGGTTGCACAACTCTGTTAAAAGCCCTTTGTACAGTTTGAGTCAGAAGTGTGTGGTAGATTAAAGATGGCTCTGAAGATGTCAGAAAAAGAAATGAAAGAAGGCAATCATGAGCCTTTGCAGTCTTTTCTCTGATTTTTTTTGGGGGAGGGTTGGGGTAGGAGAGAGGAATGTGCATCATGTAGCATTTGAAACCAGTGAGCTTGACTGGAGTCACCTGAGAAGACCTAGAAGAAGGCTTAGTCATGGTTTTGTTAACTTGACAGACACACTTGGGAACAAGCACCCTTAATTGAGAAATCACCTCCATTAGATTGGCCTGTGGGCATGTCTGTTAGGCAATTTCTTGATGTATGTAGGAGGGTCCAGCCCACTGTGGGCCATGCAATCCCTAGGCA